ATTTCACAACCCATTCTTTTATCAATTTTTTCAAACCCAATTCTCAGCCCAACCCAATTTTTTTTGTGAATCTAATAATCCTAAACCTAATTGCCCAGCCCCAATTTACAGGCCCGATTTACATATAATCCTAACAGGAGGACATTTCACTCAGTCTCTCTTTTGCTTGCCGCTTCTTGCAATTGCAAATTGTGAATTTGGGAATTGGGATTCCTCGTTCCTCTCTTGGTCGGCGTCAATCTCTCCTCTCCATTCAGTCTTTGAGTCTCCTCTCCTCTAGTCCTCTGCCACACTCTTGCTCAAACTCTGCCATCATCTCCACGGATCACTATGAATCGGTGCTTTCCTTCAGCTCTCAACCTCTCACTGACTCACCATGCCGTCTCTCGGTCGGTTTCTCCAACCAATCTCTGAGTTTCCTCTCCTCTAGTCCTCTGCCACACTCTTGTTCAAACTCTACCCTCATCTCCACGAAACTTCACAGTGATTCCCTTCAGCTCTCAACCTCGCCGTCACTACAACCCCTAGCCCTTGCTACCCTGCAACGATCGCCACTCACCTCTGGCTGAGCTCCAAGGCTGCCGTTGGGTCTCAGCCTGCCTCTCACCGTGGCACCGTGTCGTCAGCCCATCACTGCAAGTCAGCAACGCTTCTTGCTCACCACCGCTCACCTCCAACTTGTTTTAAAAGAGTGATCTTGCTATATAGGATTCTATAAAATTGCTATTTTCTTTTGAAATTTTGATTAACAAGCAGTGAAAAAGGTGATAGCTTTATTTGGTGGAGACTCCGAATACCCGCGGGAATAGGGATGGGGATGGGGATGGGGATAGGGATGGAGGCAATTTTTGACCCTCCGTCAAAATTTTCCACGCGGATCCTCGTATCCGCCATTGATTAGGATGGGGATGGGGATGGGGGATGGGGATGGGAATGGGGAGGGGTCCTCGCCCCCGTGGAGACCTATTGTCATCCCTAAATTTAAATATATAGAAAATAATTGCGGACCTTCATTGTAATTGTGGAAAATAATCCAATGAATTTGAGTTTGAGTTAAAAGAATTTGATTTTTTTAAAAATAAAATCTTAAATTTAGATATCTTAAATAGAAAAATAAGTTTTGATAAAACTTAAAAAAATGACCCGATGGGAATGGTGATATTCTCTTTCGTTACAAAACAAATGTATTGGTTTCGAGTCCCAATAATGGAAGTTCTCTTCTTGAAATTCAGTGAAAAAAGATTCCTCTGTTTTTAATTAGGAAACCTCCTCAACGTTGATGTCAAATGTTGTGTGGCAGATTTTTTTTTTTTTGGGCCCACTCTGAGTGGCAGATTTATAATCAAAATTTCATCGAAGATTTTTGAGTTAGCCTCAATTTATATTAATGTAAATGTTATATTAATTTTTACTCGCTTATTTTAAAATTTTTGTAGTTAATAAAAAACTTAAACTTTTAAAATAAGTTTTTAAAATTAAAATGTGTGGTTAAAAATAAAAGCTCCTTAACTTAACATCAATATAAGGTAGGCAGAAGGTGCAATTCAGTCCCTTTACTTTCATTGTTGTGGCATATCATCCCCTCAATTTAAAAATAGTGCAAATCAGCCCTTCTACTTGACAAAACCCACAAATCAGCCCTTCTGCTGATGGTGACCTCATCAAATGTCATCTTTCCGTCTACATCCTTGTTACTCCGTTACCATGGAATGGCTTGATGCTTATATGGCATTGGGTGGGTGATGAGGTCAATTTAAACTATAAAATTATTAAAGAGTTATCATCTTCTTCCTTTTCTTCCATCCATTTTCTCTCTCCTCCTTTACATTCTCTCTTTTCATATTGCAAATCTTTTTCTTTTCTAAAAACTAAAATTTTCTTTATATAAATCTAAACTCAAAAAAATTATTAAAAAAATTCTTAAAATATGAAAATATAAATTTTTTTTAAAAAGTTCAAGATTAAAACAAAAACTCGTAGCTTTGCTAATACCAAATGATTTATTCATTAAATCTCCATATCTAGCAACTCAAAATCTACTTGACTTTATTTTATATAAAAAAAGCATATGTAATATTTATTTCTTTTAAAAAAATATCTCAAAAATATATTCATATATATTTTAATAAAAGCACAAACTAAAAAAGGGAAAAAAATAAAAAAATTATGGATTTATATGTGCTTTTTTACTGTAGAAGGTTTTCGATTTGTACTAGGATGTTGCTTCAGTAGCAAAGAGACACATATGAATCCATAAATTTTTTTTATCTTTTTTAGTTTGTATTTTTATTAAAAAAAATACATAAATCCTTTTTGAGATATTTTTAAAGAAATAAATATTAAATGTATTTTTATTTAAAATAAAATCATGTATATTTTGGGTTATTAGAAATGGAGACTTAATGAGCTGATGACTTGGTGTCAATAAAATCACAAGTTTCGATTTTAATTTCAAACTTTTTTTTTTAATTTTTATATTTTTATATTTTGAAGGTTTTTTTTTTAAAATTTTTTAGATTTAGATTTATGTGAAGAAAAATTCAACTCGAATTTTTGGGAAAAAAAAGTAGATTTGTAGTAGAAAGAGAGAGAGAATGTAAAGGAAGATGGAGATGATGGATGGATGAAAAGGAAGAAGACAAGGACTCTTTAGTAATTTTATAGTTTAAATTGGCTACATCATCCACCCAATCAAGGTTTTTAAAACTGGACTGGTCATTGAACCGTTTTTAGGTCCGATTTTTGGTTTAACCGATTCAATCGGTTGAATCGATGAATCGACTGGTCCAAACAGCAAGGAAGATTTGATGAGAGGAGCAAGCTGCAGGCATGGATTTTCTAATTTGGTGTTGATAATTTTGTAATTTTGTTAAAATTAAAGGTTAAAATGGGTATAAGAAAGGAATGGGAAGGGTGAAATTGGAAAAACTTGAAAGAAAATTGCATGACAAATTGAACCGGTGGTTTTTTTTATTCCATCGGTTCCATCGGTTTTTATCGATTTTGACCGGTTTGACATCAAACGGTTTTTTTATATAAACTGAATCGTTTTCATCATCGAGTACTAGTCCAACTGGTTCAACCGGCCAATCCGGTCCGGTTTTAAAAACCTTGCACCTAATGCCATATCAACACCAAGCCATTCCTTGGTAACGGAGGAACAAGGATGTAGACAGAAAGGTGACATTTGATGATGTCATCCTCGGCACAAGGACTGATTCGCAGGTTTTGTCAAGTAGAGGGGCTGACTTGCACTATTTTTAAGTAGAG